GGAAACCAAAAGTTTATATGCAAATTTACGATTTTTGTAGTCTCTCTTTTTTTTTGTTGTTAGCCAACAAGCATCAAAGTTTTCCTACGCCGATGCCTATAGGTACTCTCAACGTTATTAATGTTGATTTTGGAAATTTAGTTGAATATGCAAATTGGACTAAAGCGATTGCGTCGCACTCAATTCGGGCACACGCCATTTCAAAACATCTAAAATTGTATACACCTAATTTTTAATAAACTGAAACTTAGCGGATATTTCATTTAAAGCGACATGAATTTAACATTTGACTGTTTTATACTAATAGTGTTACTGAAATTTTGGTATCGAAAGTTTTTTTTTTGCATAATAAATAATGTTTATGTTTTTAATTGCAAAAATTATCACACAGATACGAAACTCAAAGCCAACACACATAAACACAGGTAAGTTCTCTGTTCCAATAACAATATACCATTAAATAGACAAATAGATTAAACTTAAATCCTTAAGCAATGTACGCGGCTAACCAAAGATGAACCCTCACTTGAGAACTGCCAATGTAATAGCTTATCATATATATTTCATATGCAAAAAATTGTGAAATTTATTTTCCTTAAGCAATTCCACGTGGCATATTTTGACTACTTCGTTATCTTACTGGGATCATTTGCGATTCAGTTCGTCTTTAAAAGTGTCTCATGAATAATTCATAAGATTCTATCAAAATGTAATAAAATAAAAGTCTTCGCAAAGATTGCAAAGCATTGCTCATTGTGACTAGAAAGACCTGCTCCCTGCTTGAACTAAAGAGGAAAACTACTTAAATGATGAAAATGAATTAATAACGAACGATTGGCGTACAATGCAAGACGAAACGAAAGAAAATGGAAAATCAAATAATGCAGATAATTTCCAGGTAATGCAAGGAGTCAGAGTTAAGTCAAACATGAAAATGCTTATTTACAAGGCATTCCAAGGCAATAATGACATTCAAAATATGATCAATTAAAATTGCCCCTTTATAAATAACCCAGCACTTAACGGCAGGCCAAAGGCAGTGCACACCTCTTAACAGCACTCATTTGCAATTCGTGCCCGCAAAATGTACGAGTTTTACGGGCCATTATCGCTTTTATAATTTAGTTGGCTCTACGTAAATTGCAAAATAAACCGAACCAACGTTGTACGTAGAGCACCGAGCTTAAAATATAAAAGAAAAAAAGAAAAATAAAAAAATTATAAATGAAAATACTTTTTATATACATAATGCAGGCAAATTGCGCATAAAATACCAGGAAATCGCAAATTGCTGCATTTGGCTCTTTTGCGAATGAACCACAGTACAATTTCAATCAAAATTAAAAGCACTTACAATTTCAAAGATCTGCTAAAAACCACACTTGAAAACGCTGCATAATAAGGTGCTTCGAAAATCCCTGCAAGTGCAGACTTAAAATAGCATGCAAACAAGGCCATCGTAAAGGTTACGCATAGCATATTGACAACTTTTGCGCATAGTCTTGAAATTAATTTTTTTTTTTTCGAAAAAAAAACAAGCAAATATTTTTTTCCGGTGATTTTATTTTATTTGTATTCACTTTGTATTTTTTAATTAAAACTCTGGCATCTCGGGCGAGGCCACTCAGGTGCGTGGTACAAACCCACAGGCAACAGCAAAAAGGATAATACTCGTCTGCGCGCAAGCGGTGTTAAAATTGCAAAAGGGCTTCGCTAATTAAAAATTTGGCCATTTAAAAGTCTTCAGCACTTTGTTGGCCGTGAAAAATTGTTCATTTCATTTAGTACGTATGAAGTATTCTCACTTTTTTTTTTTTGGCTGAGCATTGGCCGCCATTTATATTGCTAAGCTCTAGAAATTAATTTAACGCTTGTCCTGACAAGGTCACACAGCAAACTGTTATCTTTGGGGAAAATCCATAGTAGTGCAATGTAAGTTAGCTAATGTCTATACTTATAATGCAAAAAACAGAGAATAAATTTAAATATTTTTAATGCAAGTCTTTTAATCAAGCTAAAGCAAACTCTGTGCATAAAATTAAGCAATCAAGAGAATAGTTTTTGATACTATTTTTAACGTGAGCCCCAAATTAAAGCCGGAAAGAAAACTGAGAAGAATTTATTTTTTATTTTTATCAGATTTTTCAGTTTCCATTTAAAAGCCTATTCTTAATAGCCATTTAATATTTGCGCATCACTCAGCTAATTCTAAGCTCATTATTTGCAACACAGAGCTTTCAATGTAAGGCGATGCCCACTCAATTCTAACTGAATACCCATCAAATCAGATTAAATCAATTTTATTGCTTAAGCTACAAGCGTCGGACCAATCAATTCCGGGCCGAGCATGAAGTATTGACAATGCCTACCACACCCAGATACTGTCAATGCTTTTACTATACACAATACATACACACGCACACACACAAAAAAGGTAGAATAGAACGACGTGGTAATAGCCATAAATAAAGCGCTGTGCCTGTGCGTGTGCTGGTATATTTTTAATACAACAATTAAATGCAAATACCAAACGCAACAAGCAAAACAGAAAACCTCCGCTCATTCCTGTCAAAGTCTGGCAAATGTTGAAGGATGGCCGCCGCAGCAGATGCTGGACGGCGAAAGTACAACAATTCCCCAATTCGGCTGGCCATCAACAACTTTTTCAATTCTCTTTTTTTTTTTTTGTTGGTGCTTGCGCAAATATTTTTGTAGCTGGTAGTGAGCGAAAAAAAGCAAGCAGCAGCCTGACAGAATATATGGACGATGGACACGCCCCAGTCACAGCAAATGGCACTGCAAAAAATAAAAGAAACACAATAAATATAGATATATATGTATGTGCACATAGAAAAGAAGAAGTGGTTGTATAAATTGCGGGGCTGGGCGAGGGAAGCCTTCATGTGGTTGAGTACCAAATTGGCTTACACAAACGCATGAATGAAATTCACTTTAAAATAATTTCAATTATTTGAGTGGGAGCATATTTTAAATGCGTTTTATTGCCAATTTTCACTTAACAAAGAAAACTTCAACGTCAAATGTCCATTTGCTCGTTGCCCGGCATATATATATTCCATCTCTTTTTTCTGCAAATGGCAAATTTTATCAAGAGAAAATTGAAATGAAACTGTGTGAAAATAGCTCCACAAATAATTTAGAATAATGTGAATAATCAAAATCAGCTATAAAAAAATAATCATAACATATTAAATATAGAATACCAAGTATATTTAAAATGAAGATTTTTAATTTTTAATGGGATGTGCTCATCTCTAACTAGCAGACATTTTCCATGCTCCTTTTTGTTGTGTTTTGCAAATTGGGGTCAACACAAACAGCAAAATGATGGTTTATGTATCCATTTAGATTCCGGGTTCCGGCATGCTTAGTAAACTTTGCATATTCAATGCTTGAAAACGTACAAATATACTTACGTATAACAAATATTCCCTAGCGAATATTTTTTATTTATATTTTTATATTAAAACTAAAAGTAGATGTTTTTCTAATTATTTTCAATAATTTTGAAAAATGCAACTTAATTACTCCTCGTTCCCAGTGGCAACTTTCAAAGGCAATTCATAATTTGTTTGGTTAAGCTCAATATTTCTGTTTTATATAACCGAATTTTCTCCGCTTGTCAGCAAAATGTTCAATCAATAAATAGGTCATTCGGAAATTGTGCATTATTTGGAATTGGCACAAGCCGAGTTAAGTTGTTACTTTGGGTACTTCCAATTTTTTTTTATGCGAACGTGACCAGTAAATGTCTATGGAGTGCACTCCGTTTATTGTTCAAGTATTTAAAATTGTAAAAAAAAACAATGCTGTCGAGACTTAACGGGACTTCAGAGCTAAATACCAAATACTCATAATAGCAACATAGACAAATTTTTCTTGTTTTGCGTACTTCTAAATAAACAATAATAATTTGACTTCTTCAATTTTTCCGGCCTTGCTCAAGTCTATGAGGGGGCTTTTCTTCTGTACTCTCTTGCGTTCGCGTTAAATATATGAAAATTGTAGACAAAAACACTGAGAAACATACATAAATTCTCTTAAGGGAAAACGTATATTCAGCCGAACGTCACCTATTTAATCAGGTGTGAGGCTCGTTCGTGCTCTTATAAATTTACAAATCGGGTCCTATTTGTTCAAATTAATGCTTGTTTCTCGATACACATAGGTCTTTATTGACTTCACTTATTATTAGCCATGATTGAAAGAAAACACCACGGAAATATAACTGTCCTAAGACTAAACCCGAGCGGGCACTCAAGATCAAAAATAAGGTCGGCAGTGGCCACTCAGACGAAGCAGGCAATAAGTTCTTCAGTAACAATTGTTTATTTTCCACATAAATTCGCGATGCACGCTGATTAGAAAAATGGCGTTGCCAGACGCACCAATCAGTCCTGCCATCTGGTTGGATCAGCGGGACGCAGATCAGCTGCTCTCCATTTTATTTTAATTGATAAAATAAAATAAAATTATTTTGAAACATTTTTTTACAGCCATCGTTTCATTTCCTGGAAACTCACATAATAAAAGTGATTCAATGGCTTGAATTAAAATATCCCTAAATATACCCTAAATGTTAGCTTAATCTTTGTAAGAACCAAATTTTGTGACTATTTTTAGCAGACAAAGCGCTCAATAAGGTTATGGAAAATTATATGGTAATTGAATTTAGCATTTAAGACATATATCCTTAAAAGTTATATAACTTGGTATTATTGTCACAGAGTATTAAAAACACCAATTACCGCTTTGAATATATTTGTTTCGCATTGCAGGGAATGGGCAGTATTCCTTGTTTTAAATATTTAATTTATTGCTCATCAAGTTCATTTCCTTTACATCCTCTCAAGTGTCAGCTTGTGTAAATGTTCAATTAAAGACGCCAAAAGTTCCTTTAAAAATCTGGCAGAAGCTGTGAAAGTGTATATTGATTTTTTTTTTGTTAAGTCGAGTTGAACACCAAATAATTTTGCGAATTATGACATTAAATATACGCACAGCTTATTTATAAAAAAGAAGAGAGAAATAATGATACAATTTATGAAGTTTACTGTTGCATGTCATCAAACTTGACCAACTTGGCATTGGGATTGTTAATCAGCAGCTGTTTGTTATGCTGTTCCACATTGTAATAGAAGAAATATAATTTACTATACTCGAAGGTGGATATCATAATAGCACAAGCAGGAGCCACCTTAAACAGTCGTGGCCCGTAACCGGCAAAGAGTCCACGCAGGCCGAAGGCACGATAGATGGCCACTAAGCGATTATAGGTGGACTGCTTGTTCATCTCTTTGCTGGGCGTATCCGTAAAGATGACGCGCTCCCCAAAGGCGATCTGCTCGTGCGTTTTGATCACATCGAAGGGACATGTGACGATCGCTGCCAACGAACCGGCCAAAACTCCGGCCACGAAGTTAAAGCCAAACGAAGTGTGCTCATCGCTGCTATTGCTGATCCAGTACTTTAGGTACTCGTAAACGGGCCAATATATGCCCGAGAAGGGCACATCACGCAGTATGGTAGGGGGTAAGCCACGCCACAAGCCAGCTATACCCTGCAATGCAATTATGTTACGCACAAACTGCATTACCTGAGCATAGCTGAGCCGCTCCGATTGCATCTTTGTTCTCACCAGCTCAATGGGACTGACAAAGCTGACTGCACAAATGCGAGCCGTTATTCCAGACAACATGGGCACTAGCAGGGGCGGTTTCCGATTCAGATTCTGAGACCGTTCAAAGTATCGCTGGTAGAGGGAAATATATCTGACTTTGAACTGCTCATAAGCTACGAAGTAGACGATAGTCGAAGGCAGCGCCGATACCAATGTGGGACCCAAGCCAGACCAGAGCGCGCCTATGCCCTCGTGTCGACTAATCTTTATGAGGGCATCCAGTGTGCTGCGAAAATGTGGCGTCAATGTGCCGCGGGCTGTGTGATGCGCTTGGGTGCCACACCTGAACAGATGATCCATCAGGCCATTACAGTAGAGGAAGCACTTGTTCGACTGCGACTGCTGCGACTGCATTCGCGTCTTGATCACATCCAGCGGAGTCATTAGGAAGGCAGTGATGATTGCACCAGTGCATGCTGACGCAACCTGCTGCAGTGGGCGGATCTGAAAGCGCGGATCATGGAACACCTGTTTGTGATGGACTCTTGGCTTGTTGCTGCTGTCGCTGTTGCTTTCTCCGCCTGCGTGAAGCAGGCTTATGACAATGGGAGCATCTTGCTTGGACATGGCTTCAGCATCGGTGATTTCCTTTCTGCTCTAATTGTTTGACAGTGGACCGAGAAATCGTTTCGAATTAAAAGTTTTGTATAAATATGGGAGAAATGTGTAAAATTCAGATCGGCGTTGCCAGCAGCCTGTGTTTTGACAATTACATTTGGATTTTGCTGGGTGGCAGCTCCATTTAATAGCAGCTCAGTGTATTTTAATGCCGTTATGTGGTATGGTGTATTCTGTTTTTGAAGTGTCTAATTTATCAAAGTATACATTAACCAACCCATGTGATAATACTCCATTAGCTAGTATACTTCGATTTATTAATCAGTTATTCTATTTAATGTTTTAAATTAAAAATTACATAAAAAAGTATTCTTCTGGATATCATTTCAATATTATAAAGATAATTAAATATGTATGTCTCTTGACATAATGAAATGTAACAATAAACAATACAAATTTAATATTCATCACTTGCACTTTGCTGAACTAATTGCGTTCATAACAGTTGTTATACAATAGTACAATCCTTTGATATTCACATTTCAGCTTTATTATTCGCCAATAACTACGCAACTATTTTCAGCTGCAATTTGAACGAACTTAAATTCCGAACAGGAAGCTGCCAAAAGGCAAAACAGTCAGGATGATGATGGCGACACACTGAATGGGAAACCTGAAACCTCCCCAAAGTCGTACGACAAAGAATTCACAGCAACAACTAAATTGAGCAAAGGTTGAATATTTTGCCGTGTGGGCGCGTCCGACTCTCGGTTCAGGTGAGAGTTGTCCTTGCCGCGGGTTGGGGTGAACTGACGCCTACATATAAAAGCCATGTCGACGCCTGACGGCAAAATAATTGAGATCAAAATGATGTGAGTGAATTTCTGGGTGACTGGAGCTCGAATAAAGCAATAGGGGTTTTACATATTATTTAACTGTTATTTACATCTTCATTATTAAATTTTTTATATAAAATAAACCACTGATTTATTATTATTTCAACAGTTTCTTTACAAATTTAATAATGAAACTAATATAACTACATTTTAGTTTAATAAAGTTATTGATAAATAATCCTTATTCTCTTGATTTTTAATTTCCTATATAATTAACTATGTGTACACTTTTTCTAAAGATATGATCAATTAAGTTTGTAGGTATTGTTATATTGCATAAATGCCTGGTTGGCCCAAAGCAATAATATGCATATTGATTTTTCATAACGACAACTATTTTTAATCCCCATCCATTTAGAGTGCACTTTCAACGGCCCCTTCAGGCATAGTTAAGCTGTGGAATATTGAAACTGGCAAAACAGCAAAAAGTGGAACGCAAACAACTACAGAAACACAATAGCAACATGAGAAATTTGTTGCTACACACAGACGTGGCTGTATGCATAGGTAAGACGCAGCAACTGACAAAATGTAGCGCTTATATTACAACGTTGTTAGAGAATAGTATAGAGAATGGTGAAGAAGGAGCAAAAGTGTTTTTTTGGGGCGTGCTGAAAAAACACTTTAAATGGGCAGGCATATGCTATAAACAACCAGGAGCTATGCAAGGTGGTGTGGAAAGATGCCAGAACATGCACATGACACATTCTATCTCACTTACCAACACTGACTGTGGCACACAAACGTCTGCATGCGGCAGACATTGTCTAACATTTATGAGTAACGTGGGGATATTTGCGAATTCGACACGTACATTGCTGCCGTGCGGCACGTAACCAGTAAGATTGGGTTGTGGGTGTAGTCGGTTTTGGTATGGAGTTGGTAATTGTGGTGCAAAACTGTGGAATAACAACACTTATTTGGTAGCTAATACGAGCACGTGCTTAGATTTGTTGCACAACCCTGGTGCACATATTATAAAGCTTACTCTCAAGGTGTTTAGCAGCTGTAGATCGAAAGGCTTCATTCCAAATATGGTGTAAGAAGATGAAAGCTTATAATTACCATATAATTAATATTTGTATTTGAAAAATAAGATCAGCAACATCTGCCATGCAGGCTAAGCATTGCAGACTACTTAATTTCTGTCAACGTGTCAGCAATACAGTTCAAATTAAATATTTGGATATTTTTATTTAATTTGAATCGAATATAAATTGAATGAAGTGGCATCGAAAATATGCATGGCAAATGTTGATACATTTACGCATCATGCAGCTCGCATTCAACACGCCGCAAGTCAATTGAATGCCCCTGAACCGTCAATCTGTACGCCAAGCCAAGGAAATTTCGCACACACTCTGAGAAAAGTCAGATGTGGAAAAACGTTGTGATCCGGGGCCAAGGCGAAAATGTGCCACCACTCACCATTCACCGCACAATTCCATTAAGTAAAGCAAACATCAGCTGGCGTTTGGCGTATGGATTCGTCGAGGATTCTCATTGAGATTGCGCCCTCGATACTTCTCCTGCGGATGATGATAGCGGGGCTGTGGTAGGTAGTTGAGCTGGTTGCCTGAATTCGATATCAGTAAAAGCAACATATTGAATATTGATGCGCATCGAATTCAAGTTGAAACGGCGAAAAGTTCAAACCAACATACACACACTTACACTCACACACCTACCCGCACACATACACTTTGTTTATAATAAAAACATTTGCAATTTCTCATTGCTACACGAAACCATTGACGTTAACACTAGACAACACAAATAAATATTGACATACTTAACTCATGAAGGAAACTTTTGGCAGCATTCTGATCACTTTGGCACATTTTTTTTTAGCCCCTCAAAAAAGAAAAAAGGCGCTTATACTACTATGAATTGGGAAGACATTTTTGTATATTATTTTGCCATCTTCAAATAAATTTTTCGAAATTAGTGCAAAATAATAAAAATAATTAAAAATGTGTCCATAGCTTATATGTACTCATATTGTATATTTGTAGTTTATTTTTATTTATGTTAAAGTATACCGATATATTATTATTTATATTATAACTAAAGTTGAGAAAGATAGTTGGAAATAAATTGGCAGTTTTTACGAATTTTTTAATTTCTCCTCTCTATTCTATGTGCAATTAAACTGTATACAAAGTTCAACGTTTGACCTGTAAACTGAGATTGTTGTTGACTGGTGTAAAAGTACTTAATTGGGTTAAAGGACTGCATTCAGTGCGGCACTATGGTGGCAGCAGTCAAGCAATTTGTGTACGTTCGTAGAGCATTTAAAACAATTGGTGCCAACCAATTATAAAGGGAGCCGCGATCTGAACTGGTTGAAAGGGACTCTAAGAGACTGGAGGCATTTCGCGCCAAATTAGCGGCAAATGTGTAGCAGACAACGCAGCGACAACTACAACAAAGACGACCCAAATTACAAATTACAACAAACTTGGCTGGTTGTTGGCGACATCTTTGTCATCGTCTGCATAAGTTTACGTTGGCAATAAGCAAATTGAAAGTATGAGCTGCAAATGGCGCTGCAAAGTGTGCTACAAAAATAAAATTAAAAATGCTTGCCACTGGCTGGTGGCAAGTGTGCCTTTCAATGCGTCTCATTTGCCATATTAACGATGCGCACAAATGGTGCATGCCACGTGCCTCTCTAAACCGCAATATCATGGCGCTAATTGCTACTCGAAGGCAGTTAGTCTCGTCTCGTATAGTCATGGAGGCAGTCCGACGGGAGACTTTTACTTTGCCACACCATTCACGTTGCAGGCGGCGCATTGATGGTGCTCCCACTACTGTTCCTGCTACTGCTATCTCACTTCTAGTTCGAAGTCACGTTTTATAAAGTTTCCTTCACAGTTTTGCTCTTCCATTTACTCTTGAAGAATATTTTCGTTTCCTTAGTTCAGATATGCTTTGTTTTTATTATTCCGCAGCAGGAAAAAAAAAATAAATGCATGCATGAACAGAGTAAAATGCGAAAACAAAATAAAAGTCATAAAAAAAATGTATAAAAATAAAATATGCTTGTCCTAAGACTCTTGTGGGTTTTCTACTATTTCGAATTTTAGTCAACACAACGCTGCGCTAAATTTAAGAGTCTAATGAGCTTTGTAAAATTTGGAAATTTTGTCGCCTTATTTTAATCTATTATTTATCTATCTACTTAAGTCGATTCGATTTCATTTTATTTGAGGTTAATGTCAAAATAAGTGTATTTACCATTGATAAAATATTGTTCAAAAAATTTCATACCCAATATTTAATTACTGTCCCAATTGCAATGGTATTTTTGGAAATATTTGGGTTTCATACGCGTAATAAAACCCGTAATTTTGCAGCTCATTGAATTTCAGCGGCAACGCCAAACATAAGCAAATAAACAATTATGCAGATGAATGAAAACTAAAATGAGCTTAATATGCACTGCAAACTGGCCATCAACAATAACATTAAGTGAGAAGTAATTATATATATTTAATTATTTATTTTATTATTTTGACACAACTGTATTTGCCTATGGAAATAATTACGATAAAACAACACCATAAAAACCGCAAAACAACGTTTAATTAAAAAAGCGTGAGTGGCGCAATAGTCAATGCACAGTGTAAAAAATTACGATTCTAAAAGTAAAATGTATTTTATTAGAACATACAAATAAAATGTATTCAAAATTGCTTTTCATTAAATAGTTCATATTAAAATTGAAATTATAAATATCATTTAAAATGTATATCAAAATTCAGATAATTTATAAAACTGGTCTAATGAAATTATATTTTCGATTGTTCAGCCTATTGATTATTGGATGGGAGACATCAATAATAAAAAAGATTGTTTACTGTAAATCTGTCTCAATTATAGGATTGTAAAATTTATGAGAAAAAATGTTCCGTAAACCAAATCAAAAATATGCAAATCTTTGTTAAATATACAATGATTTTATTTTAACATAAATAACAATACAATTTTTGACAAATGCATAATAAATTAAGTGATTGTCGTTTAAATAATTTACAAATGGTTGTTTAAAGTTATGTTCTTTGTTGGTTTGTGCCAGGAGCTTATTTAATTATTAAAATTTCATTTCACACAGTAAGCAAAACAAAGCCATTATAATATAATGTTAAATACACGAGAAAATATAACTGGCAAATTTGCTTTTGTTTACTTTTTTTATATGATGCATATTGGCTTTTGACTCAGTTGTTTTGGTTTTCGCTCTGGTAGAGGATTGGCATATTGTGGAATGTTTAACCAGTTTATTGTTGCAATTGAATTTGGATTTTTGACCCAATTTGTACTTTACTATATGAATGCATCTACATAAATAACTTAATCATGATCATCTTATAATACTAATTACAAAGTAAATTAATTAGTCATGTTGTATTTATGCCGCTTAATTTGTGTACGATAATTCCACCGACTATATCAACGCATATGCATTTGTTACAAGCAATTATAATTATTAACTTTTCTGTCGCAATCAATTATTGCAAAATTTAATTCACATAATTTCCATTTAAATTTTATTGTTCCGCGCTGACAATTTAAATGATGATATACATTTAAATTTTCTCATGCCCCGACCGTCAATGTATAGTCTGCAACACACAAATAAATTGGCAAAAATTCGGAACTTCTATAAATCAAAAAAGTTGTTTGAGTGCAACTCAAATTTACTTATACCCGAATTTCATCTCCAGGATGTTGCTGCTATGGCAACTTCACTTTTTTCTGTATTTCTTTATTGGTATTTATTTATAAATTTTTAAATAAATCTTTCTCCATCGATTGAACATTTTTTCACGAATAAGAAGCTTACCAAGCATACAATTTTCGCTTTTTCATGGGCAGGAAACTTTCAGTTGGTTTTTGGTTAAGCCATTTTAGGTTTTTTGATATTGGATCGGAAAAGTTGTAAAATTGTCAAACGAAACAATCTTAACTTGTTAAAAAATCATAGTAATCAACAAAAATCTTTTCAAAAATTTGCTCAAATTTTAATATCAATTTAATGAAATCAAATAATCAAGTAATTTACATACAAATTATTAAGAAAGTTTTGGATTATGTAAGAACCACAAACTGTGTACACATTCATAAAAATAGTCCAAATTAAGTTCGAAAGTATTTACATCTTCAAAGCAATTGAAAATATTCCTGTTGCCTCACGAGGCTCAACTCTTGTTTTTCTTCCTTTTTTAACTGATAATAATCTGTAAAAAAATAGCACGGCATCAAAAAATAGTCTTGCCCGATTCAATAAACCAAATGCAGTAAAAAACTGTTCAATCTACGCTGCTGAAGACTCAACAATGTATAAAGGCATATACTCAAAGTACTCAAACAATAACCCACATGCCGAAGTAACTGAGAAGGAAACAAAACAGAGACGACCAAAAATGTGGGTTCAAATGGAGTGATAGAGAATGCTTCAAGCATTTTGAAATTGTGGCATATTAACACAGAACAGACCTGCCTGAAAATGAACACAGTTGGAAATTTAGCTATGCACACATGCTTGAGAGGCAACAACATATATTATATAATACTTCAATGGTTTTGACTGCTATGACAACCGGATAAATTAACTCATGGTAATTTTTGTTTTATACTTAAAATAATTAATATGCGTCTTTTTGAAACTTCGCGAAGTTTTTGTTTACATCAATTAGTTTCGTCGTCGGAGCTCTGTGCTGTTATTTAACATAATTAGCGCAAAACAAATATTAATGCAAAGCGATAAAATGAAATTAACTCGCCGCTTGCACCTTGCTACAAAACAATTCAATTGGGCGCACAATTTAATTACAACTTCTCTGCGTTATGTTTATGGCAAGGATTTCAATTTTCCAAAATGAAACTTTCTCTTTTACATTTTGTCGTTGTAACGCTGTCTTGTTACAGGCGGAATAAAAACATGCTAGCAACAATTGGATGACAGCAATTTGCATAAAATACCAAATCTACGGCCTAAACAAGAAATACAAAAATGAAAAGCAAATGTCGACGCAATAACTCAATTTTCTGGAAAACCAAAAAGTAATACGCCACAAAAGAGGGGCATAAAAGTCAGTGACGAAACTTTACCCAAACCAGGAAACAAAAAAACAGGATTAAGTTTAGGGAACGGCTAGCGAACTATTTTGCGGTGACAAGTTTGATGCAACTCCCAGCGGCGACATCAACTTTAGAATCAGAATCCCAAAAATTTGAAATATCTTCAGCTGCACAAATGTTTCCATTGCTTCAGATTTAGCTAGGGCTTCAAATTAAGTTGGCAGCAGCATAAAATTGTGCTTTGTGTATTGGCAACTATATATATATATTAGTAAGTAGCTTATATATGCAAAGTTGCTGACACAATAGTTGGCCAAATTGATGCCAATAAAATGTCGTATTGTTGTGCCACTTCGAAGGTAACAAGTTTCGAAGGAGGCAAAGCAAAAGTTTTTGGCTTGAGCAGTTTGAATTGAAATAAACAAACGGAACTTATGCGAATATATATTTACTTATATTTTTATTTGGTAATATTTAGTTTAATTATAATCTAGCTAATAGGTATCGTAATCAGTAGCTTCCACCTTATCTTTCCATAATACTTGGTTGTGATTTCGTTAGACACAAAATCCCTTGCTGTTCAGTTGTACTTGATTTCTTTGCTGTTTTCCATGCTATCTTGGGTTTCCCTTTAAGATTTTTTAATTTTTCTTATCTTTCCCAATTATATAGTCTTATTATGGTTTTCTGCAGTCTGACCCTTGGAACAGCTATTTTATACAGTTTTTCCTTATTAATTAATTTTTTAAAACCAATATTTTGACATGTGCATATTCCATTTGCAATTCAAAATTATTTTAATACATATTTTTATATCTTACGAAACAATCTGTAACAATTTCGTGTTTGCAGAATTAAATTGGACAACCCGAGGTAGGTAATATTTTGAATTTATATTTTGCAGTAAATTTATCAAATTGTTATAAATTGGAATTTTTTTGCAATTTTCTGTGAAAATTCTTGACTCTTTAAAAATTCTCCTCATTTTAGCCGCTTTTTATTCAATCAACTAATTATCTGTTTTGAAAGAGCTTTCCTGTAATTTTTCTTATTCACTTTAAATTCCATTAGTTGTTTCGTTTTCGTGCGTTTTAATTTAAATCAAATCCTCTCAAAACTTTTTCTAACCAAAGCGACCACAAGCTGTAGCTACTCTTGCAAGTTTTTAGCCGCCAAGTCAAAGATAAACTTTCCTCTAAAATGTATTATTAAATTTGTGCAAAACACTCGAAAGTACATGTGAGCTCAAACCACAAGCCGTCAAAGGATTTAGTTGGCGCCTGTCAGGATCTGCAGCTGTCGTCGCATTGCGTTCGTTGCACAGCATGTTGTCTGCCATTTTGTTAGTGTCGAATTAAGGCAGCGCCTGCCATCTTCTATATTTGAGTCGCAATAGTTTTGCTGGGCTGCTGGTATTGCTGTAGTTCCGTTCGCACTGTGCCCGTCGACGAGGAGGACGATGAAGCCGAAGAAGATCGCCACGAGGAATCATTTGAGATGCTAGACTTGGTGCGTGAAGTTGAATCTGCGCTGGCATTGGATGATTGCCCGTCTGTGCTGTCAAGCAAGGCGAGTGACTCTCGAGGTGACTGCAGCTCCTTGCTGGATGCCTGGCGCTGCAGTTGCGGTATGCGGCTTGGCATTGCCGCAGCAGCTGCTGTTGTTGCTTTTGCTGTTGCTTCAGTCGACACTTGTTGTGTCTCGACTGCTGTCTGCAGAAGTCGCGGTATGAGTGATGTTCTGGAAGCAGACTTTGTGGGCTGCGCATATACGTCACCATTCGGCGCCGACCAGCTGGGCAGGGAACTGACACTGGCACTCGCCTCAATCGCGTAGACGCATTCGGTGCGTTGACCCTGCGGCGGTGTTGCCTCATGCGCCGGCGGCACCGACTCGAAGGACTGAAAGGAGCCGCTCAGCTTGGAAATTGCTGCCGTGTCTGTCTGCCGTTTAATACGCTTCAGCGATGCCGCTGGCGATTTGGGCACTATGGGCCCCACTATCAACGTATTTTGTGTGATTTGCGGTTCATGCAGCTCATCCTCTCCGTTGTCGTGGGCAAGCATTAGTGGCGATGTGGTTATATTACTGCTATCTCGTCGCCGCCGGCCCAGTGTGCTGCTAATAGTCCTCGGTGGTGGCAGCGGTGCCTGAAAATTCTGGGGAGGCAACGAGTTGCGTTTGTAGCTCTGACGCACATCCTGTTCAGTGGGCAGAACCTTTGGGTAGTTGCGCTGCTGCAACAAAGCCAGTTGCTGTGCGACGGTCAGTGGTTGCAGCTGAAGTTCACACTCATCGCGACTGGTCACATTGATGTCCACATCATCGGCATGGACAAAACTGGTCACCTGCTCATCAGCAGCCAAAATCATGTCCACCGGATCTGAGTGAGTGTGGGAATGCTGAGGCTGCAGCGTTGCCTCACTGGGTTCTGTTAGCGCCGAATGCTGTCGTTGCAGCAGCAACTCATAGTGTAGCCCCTCTTGCATTTCGTGCATATGCTGTGGGGTTAAAAGTGCCGCATCTGCCACCTCAATGTCCTCGCAGATGATGATGCGATTGTCTGGCTGTGCAGCAGGCAGCGGCGCTGGCGTCGTATTAAAACTGCCTGATTTGAGCAGCTTTTGTGTTGGACTCTGTTGCTGCGATGACATCCACTCGCAGACCTTTGTGTGCGTATCTACCGTTGAGCTGCTCAATTGGCGTTGCATGGCAAAGCCATTGATGGGCGAACGCTGCCCTGTTTTGATGGCTTCGTAAGTATTGGATTTTCGCACGATATCCAGCACATAACTCTCATCGCCATCACGTGACTTACTGCAGCGCTTCAGTTCATCATCGTTGGCGCCATCGTAGCTGAGCATTTGGCCGCCCAGTTTGCGTTGCAGCGAAGTATTTTGTTTGCGGCGCTGCCGAAACAAGAAAGTCGCATAGATCACCACATTCAGCACTATGAAAATGGCGATGAGTGCAATGAGGAACTGCAACGTTGTCTCCGATTTGGCAATGGGCTCCGTTGGGGCAACCGTGGCGCCATATTCCCCGTAGTCGCTGACATGCTGGGAGGTTTGCGTGGGATCCTCCCCGGATATGGCCACACCCTCAACGGCCGGCTGCTGCTGTTGCTGCTGTCTGTGCACATGACCGAATGTGGGAGGTGCGTTGTACATGTTCTCCGCAGCGGTCTCTGCCTGTTCGCTGCCCTTTGATGGTAACGGCTTTTGAAGCAACAATTTCAGCGTACGCACCGGATCCTCGGCGCCTTTGTCGCGCGCACCGTATTTGCTCATGTGACCCGTAATCACACCGTTTCCGGGGAACTGCTGTTGCTGTTGCTGTTGTTGTTGCTGCCCCTTCTGCTGTATTGCCGCAATTTGATTCAGCTCATCCGGCAACTCTTTGTTCCAGAAATTCATGTAGATCTGGCGGTACTTGTAGCCCACTGTCGGTGGTATGCCTGCAACATGAATGAAATTATGCAGTTACCACCAGAGGCAATGCACCAGAGAGCATTCGTTAGTTCGTTTCGGTATTATGGTTGCTGGTGCTCTGCATGGATATGAGTGGACAGAAGATACTCACCAATATTGAGATAGGCCTGTGCACGCTTATTAAACTCCGGCCAGTCCAAATCGTATCGATCCCACTCCAAAAGATGCGAATTCAGAAATGTGCCCTTCCAGGGCGCTTTTGGATTGCTAAAAAAAAGTAAAGTACGAAAAATAAATATAATTAATCTAAATAAAAGCGAAATGCAAGCCAAATTCTACACTTAATAAAAATACATATAAGAACTTTATTCTTATAAGAAACATAACTAAAAGAAAAAAATGTTGGAAATTTTATTAGTTATAAAATACCAAATACTAATTCACTGTTAATCATTCTCACTCATAATCAGTATCAATTATCTCGCTAAATATTCATGACACTAAGCCTTAAATCTATCATCATTTAATTCATACATTTTCCTCGCGACATTTTTTTAATCCAACCGGCGTAGGACTAATGACCACTTGGGCTTAGTGTAAAAAGTATACGGAGTGCATATACATATAAAAAAATGTATGCTAAAGATCTCAGATTTCAGATTTGATTGCCATTTCACCGGAGGGCGCGTCGCAATGCCGCATTCCAACTAATAATATTTGCATTGCTGCTGATGTGGATGTTGTTCAGCTTATGGCCCGTTTTTGCAGTTGTTTTTGTAGCGAAATAATAATAAAAGCGGCAGTAAAAATTCTATTCATTTTACTGTCCGAGCGTTGCAGATTACAAAACGTGCCACTATCCAGTGCCATGGAAATCGCATCCACATCCGCATTCCCTGCTGCAGGCCCATTTGCATGCAGAGCTGCGACTCGTCGTGTTGATGGGTCGGATACCAGAACCTGCAATCGTTCCCACTCCGACTCCAGCTGCCACTCCTGTGGCGTTTCCAATCGCAAACTTTCACCAAATGCACTCTTCAATTTCGCTTTTGGCACAGACAACACTACTCACCCGGTCTTTACGAAGTTCGTCCAATATGCCATTACCGCCTCGGAAAGCAACTTTTCCTGCACGGAATAGTTGTGGCTGGGATACGGGCCGACTGGCGCCAGCGGCGCCCCAAAAACGAACGGAAGCTCCTCCCCCATAATGCTATGCGGTAGCTGCAAGTGAATGACATCAGAATAGACATAGATATTGTAAGTAGCTGAACTAAATAAATACCTTTCTACATGTAAACACTTGAGTAATAATATCTTTAACTACATAACAATATGATAATTATTTCCGAAAAAGCAATCGTTATTGAACTAAATTATTGGGTAATTTCTACTAGCAGCCATTATTCTTTCATATATTTTCTGTTTCTCTTACAAAATCAATATGCCCTTTGAAATGATTTAACATTCACTAAAAATTGAGTGAAAAATTCAGATCAGCATGAAATATTTTCAGCAGCTTTTGACCAGTCAGCATCAATCTTCTTAGTGGTGCCTGCATAAATATTTGGCCTGTCTGTCAGACAGACGCACAGACAGACATACAAACAGACGCAGAGGGAACGGGAGCAAAAACTGCAGTAAGTGGGTAGGAAATAAAGGCAACTTTTTACTGTTACCATGAAAAATGTAACAAAGTCACAAAGCATTTTGCTTTAGCGCTCATAAAAATAGCTGTCGCCTTCTGTGGTTGTTATTGTTGTTTTTGGTATTATTGTTGTCCTTTCTTCAGGTCATTTTGGCTCATTTTCATGCTTGTCACCAGCATTTGGGTCGCTTATAAATGTTGAATGCCATTTTTGATTTTGCTTATTCTATTATTTTGATAAAATTCGCATAATCTTACAAAAAAAAAAAAAATCAGTATAAATGTAGCTATATTGGCTTAGACGAGTTGTAATACCATTTTTAGGTTCAATAAACTTTTTATTTGAGTATGGATCATAAATACTTGTTTATGGCTACAATTGTTGTCATGTACTAGCATATGTTTATTTCTATGCAATCGATGTGGAATCGAACAAATTTTCCACAAGCAATTGGATATAATATTATCATCTTACATGTATGTAATGTATGAAATTCTGTTTGAGCTTTTATTGATAACACCAGTTCTGTTTAAGACTTGAACAACAGTCTTAAAAATACGACAGTTTTGTCCATGGCACATTATCCATTAGTTGAGAGGCACTTATATATGGTGGACGGATAACATATATATATATATGTATATATTTAATTGCAAATAATTGTGTGATATAAGCTCATTGTAAGAAAATTAATTTTTTAAAAATTTACTTAATTGTTTTCGACTGCCATTTAAAATTCTAAAGCGAATAGGCTGTATTTTAATTTTAGAGTAAATGCGTTAATTGTGTAATTTATGCTTTTGTTTATCCAGCCCCTCGAGCTGAGGGTCTATGTCCCTCACACTATCTGCCTTACAATCCGCTTTACCTTAAGGCTAACGGAAGCAACAATTTGCCCAAGCGCCACTTGTCCTAATAAACCTCATGCAGTCAAAAGACGAAAATTGGCAAAAATGTTTGCCAAATTTGCTAAATGTAAACGACAACAGGCGTGTCCCGACCCAGAAACTCAGAGACCCACGACCCCCCGGGGCAATTTCGGTGGTAGCTGTAATTTGTATCTCATCTTTATGGACTTTTATAAGCTTAAAATGGCACGCCCAATTGATTGCTTTAGGGCGGCTCTTTAATTTGATATTTTCTATTTCGTAATGGGAAATTTCTGTCAGATTCTTAAGTTTTGGCCAAGTTATTAGTTCATATTTTGTTCGTTAGTGGCTGTCTCATAAAGTATGCAACACATTTCGCGTTACGTAAAAAAAGTTTTTTTTTATTATTTGCTTAAGTCTTGAGTCACATTTCTTTTATGAATGCGGTCAACAAAAGTTTCTCCAACGCGATGCATATACAAATTTTAGTTTCGTTTTTATTTTATTTATTTTCATAAATTTTGTTTCCTTCCTCTGGCAATTTATTTGGCATTCTTATCCAAAAGGCAGCTCGAAAGCACTTGGCTTAAACTTATTCAAGACACGATAAAAAAAAGGACTAGACAGGGCATAGTCGAAATGCCCGGAATGACAGTGAGAGTGTGTGTACAAAATGCTGAATTTAATATGCAAAACAATATTAAACACATTTTTTTTTTCCTAATATACCATCAACTCTTTCCATTATTTAGAAGCTGCCTGTATATTAGTCAAAATTCTTGTCATGTATATATAAATATATATATATATTGGCATAACGTAAATAATGCCGACTAAAAGTAAAATTGAAGTGCAGGAATTTCTGTAATTTTTGCTTAGCACTTTTCAGTTTACGATACCAGCATTTAATGCAATTTATTTATACTGGCAATTTCTTGTTTAAACAAACTTTGGATGCATTTAAAACTTATTTTATTCACATCATTTTTGCTATTTTAGCAATTGGCTTGGGCCGCCATAGTGTGTACTTCAGACCCGACTAAGTGTCTCCCCCAGCTGCCATTGGGTAAGTGAGCGCCTTGAAAGCCAGTTTCTCTCAGCTGCAAACATGGAAGACATGTGCCAAAAAGTTTTACAATATGCCCGCAGCTTTAGCCAGAGATACTCGTAGTCTATAGTGTGTTGGCAAGAATGGGAGAAGACATTCACTCAGTCAGTTTGTCAGTTAAAGTTGGGGCGTGGGCGTGGCCGGTTGTCAGGCAGTGCGTATCCAGTGAGATGCTCATAGCATAAAAACAACTAAAAATCTTAAACGTAAGGCGTAAGTGGTCTATTGAGAGTTACTCTATGGGCAGCAAAAAATATTAAATATTCGTATTCAGATTTAATTAAGAAATCGGATTATAAACTGAATATTTTATACATTTATTAAAAACTCTTATTTCCATTATATTGAATAAGTGTAAGATATTCTCAAGACACTCTCAAATATAGATTAAGTTCATTTTTTATTAATGGCATAAAATAATTCATTTAAATAAAATTATATCTGTTAAGGATTTAATGGGAAAGTTTCTAACTTTTAAATAAGAATGTTTTAATAAGAGGTACAATTTTAAACATTTTTCAAGACAACGGGGTATATGAAGCTTGATGATAAGTACAGAATCGCAGTTTATGCAGAATTGTGCATAAGGAATTGTGTTTTTGGCTTGGCACACAGCACAAAACAAATGCCGCAAAAATGGCCAAATAAATAAAAATAAAACGTCTAAGCTAAAAAGAGAAAAATGTTGCGGCACAATTGTATACATATACGTATATGTGTATATATCTGAGTGTGTGTTGGCTGGTTAGTTTGTTTATTTGTCTGGCAACGCCCTCGAAGCACATGGTGCCTGGGCTGTCGTCTTTCGCAGCGATAATTTGTAGGCAAGCCAGGGCCTCCTTATCCCCAGGATTCTGTTTATGTTTGTCCTAGCAGCGTTTTGGCTTTGCTTTTGGCATGAATTATTTAAGTGAATTTCATTTTATTTTTCATAATTTATTTGCAACTAATGCGCTTTGGCGCTTTGCGCTGATCGTCCTCGCATTTTTCCTCATATCAAACACATAAATATAAATGTCGCTTAAGCTATGGCACATGCACTCATCTATTATTTAGCTACTTTACCGAGAAGTTCAAATAACACAAAAATAAACTTTATAATAAGAGTTGTACACGTATTAAAATCTCTAGTTTGTCTGCTCATTATTATCCAGTCATTGCGTATATATCCTTATATTTTAATTGCCAGCTATTAAGAAGTTGTTGCACTTTCCTTACTGCCCGCATAGCCACAAATTGTGCCGCACTGAAAAAGCCCGTTTGCTGCATTATGACCCACTTGAAATAAGTCCATTTTCATTATGTTGGGGTTTAGTTGACTTGGTCATAGTTTATGACCCTACCAAGACTGAAAGCTACAGCTGTAAAAATACGCTTAACACCGCTGCCAAAGCTAAAGTTCTCAAAAATACAATGCGAAACGACAATTTTTTTTTTCATTTTCTCAGTTTGTTGTTCTTTGTATTTCGATTTTTTATTCATGTTCTGCCCATTCATTATTTCAGTCTCAGTGCCTTTTATTAATGGATTTTTGCTGTTGTTTTTGTTTTGACTACTAACAGTTTGTCAAGCTCTGGTGTCTGAAGATTTTTGTTGTACAAAAAAAAGTCTTTAAGCACATCAAAAATTAAATATGAATTTTTAAAAAGACAAATAATGTCGTAATCTTTTAATATCTAATTGACTAAAAAATTTTAATAAAATTGTAAACAATCTCAATATTTATAGCTTTTTAAATTGAACCTTTTATTATACTTGTTTCATACTTAAATTATGACCACTTGTTTTTTTTTAGATTGGATTCTTTTCAATTCATATTCAATTCGAAATGCCTATTCAATTTCCATTAGCTTCAAATAAAGTGGTTTCATCCAGCAATCAAGTCATCAAATTTGTGTTATCCTACCCTATCAAATATCTGTGCTCACATCCTAATTACAAATCGATAGACACATTTAATCATAACATCAAATAGAGGGTAGCAATATCCAGACCAACCGAAGCTATCACAAAATGGCAATCAGCAACAAATCCATAAGCATGACAAAGCTATAAAAACTGGCGGCAACAGCAGTACCAGCAACAAAAAATAAAATAAATAAAGGACACACAGACGCTTACAGAGGACTCTAAGCAGAGACACAAATAACCAGACAAGTCAGTCAAGAAACCAGGCAACCAATCCAGACACCAAACACTGACCCGCCTGCGGTCCGAAAACAAAAGCGTATTCCCAGTGAAGTGGTTGGCCGTCTACTTAGCGACTTTGCCGCAAGTTAAAGTTTTGTTTGTTGTTGTTTCTGTGCATTTTGTTTGTTGTTGATTTTACTGGACTCAACGGCAGTTCATTGTCTTTATTACGATCGTTAAGGGTCGCGTCCTGTACTGCTGCAAAGTTGTGAATTGTTTTGCCGAAAAGCTAAAATGGCAGCCAATGATGTAATGACCCAGCAAAGAGGAGCCACTCACACAGGAGATCCGACCACTCGCGGAGGGGTGCAAAACTTTTTTGGCGCACGGACAGTTCATGAAAATACATAAAATGTCCAACTCATGCTGTTTGAATTTTTAGAAAATTGACCCCAGTATTTAAATTAAACTTCACGGGTATTACAAATCTACACAATAGACTAAAATAGTACCATTGACCATAACAGTTATACACACAGTACAGAAAAGGTTCTACTCACATTTGCATAGGGGCCCATCGCGCTGTTATGTCCGAAAACATACATATAATTGCGTCTATTCACATCCGCATGGAACATTCCCGTCTGCAACAGGGGTCCAACGACGCTTGCATCGGAGAGAATGTCCAGGACAACATCGCAATGCTCCAAATTAGTGGCCTTAATCGGATTGTTGTACATGTCCTGGTATCTGTGTGTTTGTGTTTGTGCGTGTGTGGAATGAAAACATAAAAGAAGTAAAACAAGTGCAACCCGACGTATTTGTAATGCGCATTGTTAACAAATTTTCCTAAAACTGCCGCTGTTTTTCGAACCACTTCAGCGTTTAATTATGCGGTTTGTATTCCACGTAAAATTAATATTCAAAATTTGTTGGGACCTGCACAAAAAGGTGGGGCTTACGTAGAATGCTTTCAAAATACAAGTACTTTATGGCAAAATATGTATATATAAACGTTATGCTGCAATAATTTGTTAGAAAAGCATTTGAAGAAAGCCGAAAAATACTAGAAACCCAAAATTAATATAGTTCCTACAACCTGGCAATAACTGGTCACCGTTATAACGATGGTGAGAATAATTCTCTAAAATTATTTTGCGTCTGCCGGTAATATGCTTTCTGCTCTTCTAAAATCTGCGCACCTTTCTATATTTCAAGAAGTAGCTATTTTTGTCAGTTGCTAAAGAAAAGTCTTAAGTGAATTTCATATTTTGTCACAATTTCATTTGCTTGATTATGGCTTTTGCCAGACTCTCATGAGATTTTGCAGCGCAGCGTGAAATTATTATAGCCCCAGCGGGACACAAGCATCAAACACAAAACAAAGTACACCAAAAAAGAAAGAAAAAAAACTTCAACTTGACTTCAGGGTGTACACTCAATAGGTTCTTTTGCACATGTCAAGAACCACACTTGGATTTTTGCTAGCAACTGCTTCAGGTATGCTGGTACATGTCTACACAGCTCTGGCTGTCAGGCATGTTTTCCAACGTCTGCTTCTGCTGCTGCTTCAACTTAGCGTGGCCTAATGTACCTTTGCTTTTTGCCTTTTTGGCCTATGTGTGTAGCATGTTATGCATTTTATTGTCGGCTACTTAAGTTATGCGCTTTGACCTCGATACAGACAACATCCAAGCGCCGCCAGCAAAGACAACCATTGCGTTCGCCTCCAGTTGTCGGTGGTTTGGGGTGGAAATAGCACCATGAATGTATTGCCTAAGGTAAGAGTTGTTGTTGCGGTTTTTCTCTCACATTTGTACCAGTTTGCTGGTGATTCTTCGTTGCGAGCTGCAAGTCCTATGCCAGGACAAGCCATATAGTGCTTGCTGTCTCCGGAGGTTCATACTTGAAGACTGCTTGTTTTTATTGTATTTCTTGCTGTTGTTGTTGTTGTTGCGAATGTCATATGGTATAGTACGCGATATATTTATTTGCGGTTTCTATTATGTAATCTCACACACTTGAGCAAACGCTTAGAGCATGTTTTCTGGTTGTTGTTGTCATTGCTAGCAGCTGGCAGGATGCTTGCGTCTGTTCATGTGAGTGTAATAAATAAAGTGAAGATGTCAAGTCAATGTTTACTTAAGACGCGCTCAACCAGCATTTGCAACAAATTTCGTTTTTAAATTATTAAATAGAAAGCAGCGAGGACAAATGGAAAAGAGCTATCCTGATAACGTAGCGTGTGTGGAGAATTATATTTGGTTTCGTATTTCAGTCAGAGCTCGAATTTTCATTCAAATCATCTTTAAATTTGTGAGTGAAGTATGTTGAGTTAAAATCATTCTTTAATATTCGTTTTTGGCTTATTTTTAAAAAAAGACTTTTAATGTAGATTGGAAATTTGAGATTGAAGCTTTAGGAAATGAAAATTTATTGATTATTCTGCAAGGGAATATCAGTAATTTGAAACATACAATATAGATAAATGTTCATTCGTTTAGTCAATTATATATTTAAAGCAGAGCACAAACAAATTTAAAAATAAATATTATGCTCGCTTCGGTTCTAATACATATTAAGCAATGCACACTTAGGTACAAGCTCAATTGCTTGCCCGCAAAAGCGCTTCAGAAGAAAATCCCGACGAAAATGAAAAATGCATAAATATAATTTAGTATTAGTAGTAATTAAAAGTTTTGAGGCCTGAGTTCACAACCAAATTTTTGTGCGAACAAATGCAGCTAAACCGTATGATTGTTTAATTTAATAAATTCGGTTTCGTAATGCGTGCAACATGGTTGCATATATATACGCACCACAAACTGCGCCACAAATAAGGCCAAAACAAACATAACGCAAACTCGCAACCCAAAAACTAACCGCAAAACACTTGAAGACCAAAACGCAAAACGCGTTCACCAAAAATATGCACAACAAACATTAAAGAGCAAGCTATGCAAAGTAGAGGAGAAGCAGCAATGTGCAAAAAGTAGGAGATGGCACAAAGAAACCGTATACCGTCATTTAGTTTTTGTGTGCCACGCCCAACAAAAAGGAGACACTGCCACAGACCAACACGGACAGACAGACAGACAGACAGATTGCTGATTGCTGGGGAGCCGGTGAGCAGAGTTTGCTCAGGCCATTCATGAGGCAAGCATAAGTATGTGAACTGTCTGGCGCAGATGGACCATGGCGCAGACCAACCAGCAAAGATTACTACTTAATGCTAGGCAACCTTTAATGTTTCAGTTTTTCAAGGTAAATCAGATTAAATGAAATTGCACAGTACCATCGACTATAGATATACCTTTACAGTCTGTCCTAGTACCTAATTATGTACATTTATGAAAACAACCTACAAATTTAAGCTGTGCGAACAAATTACAGAAATATGGAAAACGGAATACACGTGCTCTCCAAAAGAAAATAAAGTTGATTGGGTGATCTATTAGTTAATTTTTTGTAGTCCTTTATTTTTGCACTGCTATCAGCAAGTCTACTAAAACCAACTAAACCATTTTCGTTATTTCTGGCAACAGAAGAATACAAGTTGTCTAAGCTAAAATATTGAAGCTTATACTCGTATATATATACAAAATAGGAATTTCAGTAATAACTTTTTTTTTATATTCCGGATCCTCAAGTAAGCTTATAAATGTGAGAAAAAATGTAGATAAATAGGAAACTTAAAAATCAATAAAATTAAAAAATTGTTTATAGAAAATATGTCGAATTAAAATAAAAAAAAGAAACATGTGTGTTTTACGCAGTATATCGACGAAGAGTTGTCATCCTCTGGCCCCTTTTAGTGGCTGAGCATAAGCAATGCTCGCATTTAATTTCCGAGGAGCGTTTGTGACACTCTAAATATTTCCGCACTTGAGATGACATTTCGAGTGTTCACAGGTGAGTGTGTGCAGGTGTGTGTATCAGTGTATTAGTGTGCGTCTATGTGTTTGTATGGTAATGTAAGTATATGTGACAGTCGACTCTTGGCTGTCTGCAGCCATTTGTAGTGTCCTACATTTTGATAGTCATTGGCAGAGTCGTAATGAATTTGCTGAAGGGTTTTGCTAATGAAGTTGTGCAAATAAAATGCAATTTCATTTTAAATTGCATTAAATGAGAATATGCTGCCGGATACGAGAGCATGTGCCCCTCCAGCATGAAGGCGTTAGTGCTTGGCGTTGGATTACGCTCAAATGGTCCTAAGTGAAAGTTGTTCGCTTTTAGTTTAACTCCTAATTGTTATAAGACCGAAATGGATAAAAGTTTACAGGTCACACCAAATGGTTAAAGAGTTAATTTTGCTAATAGTATATGTTAGTTTTTATATACTTGTGCTAAAATGGGGTATGGTTGGGGTTCACAGCATGTTTATATTTTATGTGATTTTGTTACCCCAGGGCAACTATGGTATACCAAATAATAGAAAAACTTGGTGAAATTACTTTTTATTCTATTTTGGAACTCTTTTAAAATAAGCGAGAAAATCTCATTGAACTGAACCACTATACAATAAAACTCCAAATGGAAATATCTCTCAATAATATATTTGTTAAATGAAAATCTTATAAATTATTTAATCAAGTTCACACTGTGTTATTTTTCTGATTACATAAACGCTGTGCAAAGAGAATCTGATTACTTTTCACTTAGCTAACAGACAAAAACTTATACAAAACTAAATTGTCTTTAATTTTTATACTGAATGAAAATGATTTAACCTTGTATTAAGTAACTCACACTCTCAATGATTTAAGAAATATTGGAATAGAACCAATTAGAATTTCCATCTGCAAATATTGAATAACTCTTTCTTAAATACAGTTTGATTACATATAAGCTAAAGTATTTCCATTTTCTCAGTCCCTGCGGCAGATTTCCAATTCGGATTTCATAATCCCAAAACAAGCTCAGCCACAAATATGCAGCCTACATTAGCATACATAAACAAAAGTCGAATCACAGTCAGTGCGAACCCCAAAATCAAATCAGTTTAATCGTCCTAAGGCATCACACACACACACCCACAGAGACAGAGAGAGAGAAAGAGTGGGGAGGAGCAATGAGAGAAAGGGAGAGAGAGGGAGATGCCTACTGATATGGGAACAGTTCAAACATTTGCTTAAATAACTAGCTAACCCAAAAGGAACTGTATCTGGCAGAGAACACTTTCAGGCGTTAATGTTTATGTTTGGTTAGGGTTAAATGGGAGTCGGTGCTTGGGGTTCGTGGACCCCACTTAACACGATTCACATGAGCCGTTGCCCCATTAAGCGATGCGAAGCGTTGACGTGCAACCCTTGAAGGCACAGTTTTAGCTAAATAGTGAAAACAGCCGCTGGGATTTTTCGCAAATGAATGGAAAACTAAAAGAGCTACCAGAGAGCAAAGTATTTTTTTTCCTATTTAGTTGGCCGATACTTTTCAGACCCATAACGGCTCACATTCAAATAAATTGTATTTTTAATTGTTTTCATTTTTCTAGTGCTCTAACAACACTCAATTGCATTTATTTATTGCTGTGAGTCCTGTTGCATTTCGGCTAGCCTGCCTCCCTGCTAAATATATTCCACTTACATCAGTACGTACACCGAGAGTGATATTCGAAATTGCCGTACCACATGCTGTGGCCGCTTTGCTGTTTGCATAGGCCACACAATATGGACAAATGATTATGAAAAACTATTGTAGAGTTGGTCGAAATGATTGTGAGGTTGTGTGTGTGCTAGGGTTCGTTT